ATACTGAACATGCCACCCATCACCACCTAGCCATCCCTCGCCATCTATCAATCAACTCACCGTATTTTTTCTATGTAAAAATAACTTACAGACATTAACACTCCCTCTCTTTTTATGTTTGCTACTTCTAAAAATTTGGAGGCTGGAAAACCAGGTACTTGAACTGGTTATAAAGTAATTTTTGATTGTTTCTCTGTTTTGTTTTTATTTTATTTTATTTTTTTAAAATATATTTTATTGATTTTTTACAGAGAGAAAGGGAGAGAGATAGATAGCTAGAAACATCGATGAGAGAGACACATCGATCAGCTGCCTCCTGCACACTCCCTACTAGGGATGTGCCCACAACCCAGGTACATGCCCTTGACCGGAATCGAACCTGGGACCCTTCAGTCCGAAGGCCGACGCTCTATCCACTGAGCCAAACCGGTTTCGGCAATCTCTGTTTTGTTTTTATTTCTCGACTTAGACATCACGATTCGGGGAAATGAAACAAAACAAAAAAAAACAACAACACATTTTCTCCATCTTACCCTGGTATCTTCACTGATATAACCACACATGACCTTCTCATTCTTGACCCACAGCTCACCAGCCTGTGCCCTGAAAGGAGAAACACACACACAAATTATTGCAAATCTTACATGAACCGTGAAGACACGGTGATGACTTCAGGGTAGCTCACTCTACTCTGTTACTTCTACGCAAGTGACCTCGCCAGCTACAGATTTCCAGAGATAGTGCCATGGACGGATTACACAACATGAGGAATTCCTAGAGCATGTTGTATATGCACAACAGGAACTCTTAATCTGAGCATCCACAGACAGCACGTGGGCCTAAAAAAAGGGCTACAGGGAAGCCATGAACCCTCTCAAGTGATGCAAATTTTGTTCTGGGCAGGGTACTGCAGCTTTTGTCAAATCTTAAAAGGGTCCATATGTCACAAAAAACAACTAAGAAGCACTGATGAGCATTTCTGCTAATCCCAGTTTTAACACCATCAGTCTCAACAGAAACAAAATCCATCTTAATATCAGGATTAGAAGATAGGCAGTTAGAAGGCAAGAAGGGACAGAGGCCCTATACCCGTGGTCGGCAAACTGCGGCTCGAGAGCCACATGCGGCTCTTTGGCCCCTTGAGTGTGGCTCTTCCTAAGCCTTAGGAGTACCCTAATTAAGTTAATAACAATGTACCTACCTATATAGTTTAAGTTTAAAAAATTTGGCTCTCAAAAGAAATTTCAATCATTGTACTGTTGATATTTGGCTCTGTTGACTAATGAGTTTGCCGACCACTGGCCTATACAATGGAGGTCATACTAGTGAATAATTTTCATGGCAACTTGCTGTTGTGTTTTGGGGGCTTGTTGTTTTCTCCTCTGCCACTTGTTAAGACTGTAAATGGGTAGAACAGTGGAAGAACATGGCCTTTAGCACTGACCAGCCCGGAGGGCAACCAATCAATGTTCCTCTCCCACGTGATGTTTTTCTCTCTCTCTAAAAAAAAAAATCAGTGGAAAATATCCTCAGGTCTTATGAGTCAAAACAAACCCAGGACAGCCCAGCCAGTATGCGCAGTGGTTGCACGTCCAATTTATGGCTGAATCATAAAACATCCCTTTTTGGGGGGGAAAATTCCCTTATCCTTTTTTTCTTTCCCAATTAAGTAGTTCAGACCAATCAAACAACCCTAGTAGCTGGTATAAAAGTTCTTTTCAAAATGATCCTGGCTAATAAAAGTAGAAAGAATGACTGAATTAGAAAACCACCATCTCACAAAAATCATCAATGGATAAAACCATTAGGTAAAAAGTTGATGGGGAACTTCAGACTACATCACCGGAGCCCACCTGTCAACTTTAACATGATTAAGTGAGCCAACCAGGAGCAAATATGCTTGTACATGTGCAACAAATTTCAGGAAAGACACAGTGTCTTCTAAGGAAAAGGATTATATATTTCATTATACACATCTTTGTACCACCAGCTTTACTATGTATATAGAAGCGTGCTTTTTTAATTTAAAGGGGGGTCTCTTAACAAACTGAAATATAGAAATAACTTTAATAAATCAAGAGTAATTCAATACAGTTAAAAAGGCAGAACTAGCCCAGCCAGTTTGGCTCAGTGGATAGAGCGTTGGCCTATGGACTGAAGGGTCCTGAGTTTGATTCCGGTCAAGGGCACATGCCTGGGTTGCAGGCTCAATCGCTAGTGGGGGGGGGGGGTGGGTGGGCAGGAGGCAGCTGATCCATGATTCTCTACCATCATTAATGTTTCTATCTCTCTCTCCCTCTCCCTTCCTCTCTGAAATCAATAAAAAAAAGTGTATTTTAAAAAAAAGGTTTGATTAAGTATGTTCATCTGAGGCTTTTTCCAATTCTAAAGTTATGAGTCTAGACCTCCTTTGTTATGGAACACCAGGTGGCTTCAGCAGCTGCCTGGACTCTGGTGCATTTTGCGGGGGGGTTTTGGTTTGTTTTAGCCAGAAGGGAACCTAACATTTTAAACTATTGCGTATTTCATTATAGGGACACCCATAGGCCTCAAATGCTGTCTGCAGCCCCATGGCTGCATCCATAGGCCTCAAATGCTGTCTGCAGCCCCATGGCTGCATTACATGCTGTTCCCCAGCAAATTCCACCTTCTGAGTGATGTAGGCGCATGTGCTGACCTAAGGGAAGAGGGGGAGGTTTAACAATACATCGAGGCCGCAAAAGGTCATCAAGAAAGGCTCCAGGCTGTCTCACCCCTCCTAACAACCCCAAGTTCAATTAGCCTGGGCTAACAACCCCAAGTTCAATTAGCCTGGGAGTAACAGCTTTATAGGAAAGCCTGCTGGGTCAGGTCCAACAGCAGGGTCTTAAGAGTTTGGCAAGTACAGACAATAGTAAAGACCAGGTGGATAAGCAGCCAGCTTCACCTATATACTTATCCTCACGTTTGCATGCGTACCTAAATTTACATACTCACTTATATATAGAACATTTCGTTCTCATGTTAGCTCTCATTTCGGAAAATAGAACCCTCCTTCTATCATTGAAAATGAGCAAAGAGCCCCAGCCAGTTTGGTTCCAGTCAAGGGCACGGACCTTGGTTGCAGGCTCGATCCCGGGCCCTGGTTGGGGCATGTGCAGGAGGCAACCAATCGATGTGTCTCTCTCACATCGATGTTTCTCTCTCTGTGTCTCTCCCCCTCCCTTCCACTCTCTCTGAAAATCAAAGAAAAAATATCCTCAGGTGAGGATTAACCAAAAAAAAAAAAAAAAAAGCAAATATTTTTTTTTTCTGAAAATATGCACTGCATGGAAATTCTACCTATAATTTGTTGTTTCATAATACTAAAAAAAATCCAATAAGGAGAATTTTCAGCACCAGCTCACCATTTTGATGAACTCATCATTTTAGGTGGAAAACGTAAATTAAAGATAAAATAAGGAAAATGGGAGGAGGGTACGGCAAAAGCAGTCTGACCTGGAAGCAGTGAGGTCTGCATTTTAGCTCAGTGCTGACTGCTCCTAGCCTTCTAGTCTTGGCCAATCACCTAACGTCTCAATCTCAGTTTTCACATCTAAAAATTAGGGGTAATAAATAGCTGTCCACAAGGAGGACATGTGAGGTGCAAATGAAAACAAGGGAAAATTCGAAAACTAGAGTTTTATTCAAATGTCAAATAATATTGTAATTTCCCATTCAAACCAAAAATGCAGAGTAAAACTCTCCGATAACAGACAGGCAAAACAAAGCGAAAAAAAAAAAAATAGAAAGAAAGAACTATGAAAAAAGCCCTGGCCAGTGCGGCTCAGTTGGTTGGGCCTCTTCCCAGCACTGGAAGGTCACAGTTTCGATTCCCAGAAGAAAAAAATAAAAAACACGATGAAAAGTAATGGAGGAAGATACAGAAAATGTTCCCAATAATTGTCTGTGAAGCTGCAATCTGAAATGACTGTAAGCTCTTCTCCCTTACTGGATCCTCTAATCTGTATGAGAACATGGATTATTAATATAATATAAAAAGGCACAGACTTTAAAAAAATGGTATCTTACCAAACTTTTCTTTAGTCTCCACATATCCCCACGGCCAATATATTGATCCTTAAAGGTTAGCTCCACTAGATCAAGGGTCACATCCTAGAAAAGACAATCAAACATATCCCTCTGCATCATTCTGCCTCACTTCACGGGCATAAGATAATGCCCGTCACATGGAGACACCTTTTGGCAAAAAAGAAACTACTGGAAGACCCTCCAATAGCAGCACCATGACAAACAGATTTTATCCTGCCAACAACGGTTTCTGAGACAGGTGATGAGTCTGTAACAGAGGCTATAACAGCTGAATCATGGTTAAGTGCCAAGAGCACCAGAGTACTAGTTCTGGGTTTCAGTTTTTTCCTCTTGTTATTGACTGCACTGGGGTGACACTGCTTAACAAAATTATACAGGTTTCAGATGCACAATTCCACAGTACATCACCTGTACACTCTATTGTGTTGTTTTAGTCTTAATTCTGACACACAACTATGACATCGAGGTTTGTGTTTTATTTCCCTAGATAATGTCAATAATACCTTCTAGAAGATTTTTACCTATTATAACATTGTTTCTAGACGTGCGAGACTATAAAGAAAATTTAGTATTTTAATAGAAAACTTTACTTGTAGCTTCACAAACACACACAGATATCTATACACAAAATCTTTAAAAAGGGAGGAGAAAATATATATATATACACACACACACATAAATATTTTTTTAAAAGATTCCATCCTTATAGAAAGAGGGGCAAAAAAAGGGGGGGGCATTTTAAATGCAACTTACATACTGCCTATAATCTAAATAACCTACATGTGACTGCATATTTCATAGTCTGACACTATACGTAAGTAACTCATTATTTCCTTAGAGGCCTAACCTAGAGGAAGGGAGCTAATCATCTCGGAAAGATATTCAAGCCCAGAACAAAAACATACCTTAGGGTCTACGACATTCACATAGACATCTTGATAAGGTCTTAGACGAAACACTTGGGTCACGGTCTGGTCCACACTGATAGTTTCTGAAACAGAGAAGAAATCTAATAATACATTCTGGAAAAAAGCAGGTACATATATTCTAATCCATAAAGACTCAGACGTTCAGGAAGCAACACAACTGACCCTTTGCCATGGACGAGCCATGCTCTCTGCCTACCAGGAGCTTAACATTTAGAATTCTCTGCTTTTCAGATGACATAAGCAAATAAAGACCTGAGCCTGCAGTGTTTCCTGCAGTGTCTGGGATAGTAAAGTATAAAAATCTTAGAGAAGAGAGATGGAACTTTTTCTTACCTTTCTGTAAATCTTCCTTAAGTGACTTGACTTGCAAAAGCAGAGGGCTGGGGGGAAAAAGCAACAAAAAGATGGGATGCTATAAGCAGTAACTAATTAGCTTTCTTCATGCAACCCCTCTAAAAGGTAAACAAATGACTCTGGACATATTGTAACTTGCAGCACAACAAAGTAATCCTGCACCTACACTCAAGGAAATGGAAAAATGCTACAGAATGTTTCTCTCTCTCGTTTTAAAATCTTTATTGTTGACAGTGTTACATAGGTCCTCTTCCCCTCCCCCGCATCCCCATTGATCTTTTCCAGCCTGCCAGAATTTTTCATAGAGTTGTCAATTCGGCTTCAAAAACAGAAAGAATGGTCCTGGCCAGTGTGCTCAGTGGTTAGAATGCTGGTAGTGCACCAAAGTGTCGAGGGTTCAATTCCCAGTTAAGGACACATACCTGGGTTGCAGGTTCAATCCCTGGCCCTAGTTGGGGCTTGTGCAGGAGGCAACCAATCAATGCTCGCTTCTCTCTCTCTCTCTCTCTCTCTCTCTCTCGTTCTCTCTCTCCCCTCCTTTTCTTCCACTCTCTCTAAAAATCAATGGGAAAAAATGTCCTCGGGTGAGGATTAATAACAAATAAAAACCAGAAAGAATGAAAAAAAAAAACCCAGAAAGAATGCACCACTTTTTAAAAGATGATGGGCTTACCGAATCCTAGAGGCAGGAGCATTTTTATCCCAAGGCAAAGAGCTGTCCTGCCCGTCAAGACCCTTAAACAAAATCTCATCTGGAAACAGCCGCCAATCAGCTCCCCTGACCTGTCAGGCACTCACCTGTACTCATCGTTGGGGTGAGCGATCTCCACAATGTCCCCAAGCTTGATGTGAGGAAACACTTTGGGGTTCATGACCAGCTCATCATCTGAAAGACAATTGGGCCGTCCCCAGCAGGAAACACACTCACCGAGTGACAGGTGTGATGCGTGTTCTCACACTGGGTCCTCCCACCCCCTCGGGCGGGTATGACAGCACAATCCCTTCTGTTTATCCCAAATGATGCAAAGGTACTGTCTTCATACGACCCTCACAATGAATCTTTGGATCTAGCAGAAATGAGGATATACCCTGGAACAGGTTAAGGGTAAACAGCTAGTAACAGCACAGCCAGGACTGATGACTGCCTAGGCCAGAGCGCCGTCTACCTAACGCCCACCACCTCTCATATGTCATGAAAGTCAAGCCAAATAAAATGGAAAAAACCTCCGATACCATTCACATTAGGATCCAAAGAGACCCTTAAAATAAAGGGCGGACATGGTTTCGTGCTTTGTTTGGGAGAGAACTCTTGCAAATACAACATACTCAAAGCCATAAAGATGGGAGTGATTTTTTTTTTTCTCTTTTGATATTTCGGGAAAGACATGGCCTTTAACTAAGCTAAAATCATGACAAATAAGTATATCTAAATTTCAAACATAATCAGATCCAATCAAAATTCAGCCTGGGAACCCAAAACACTGGGTTAATCCCAAATTTTATTATATATATAGTTTTTTTTTTTTTATTGATTTTAGAGAGGAAGGGAGAAAGAGAAAGAAACATCCATGTGAGAGAGAATCATCGACTGGCTGCCTCCCACAGGCATCCCAACCAGGGGGATCAAGCCCACCACCTGGGCATGTGCCCAGGTAGGGAAGCAAACCAGCAACCAACCTTTCAGTGCATGGGACAATGCTCAGCCAACTGAGCTACACCGGCCAGAGCTTCTGTGGCATATTGTTTCCATTGACAGTTTTATGCCAAATCCTCTGTTTTATGACAGTTTTGTCCCAACTTCCACCGTCGGAATGAAGCTCCCTGAGCATGCATTCCTTCTGCTTCACGTTATCATTTCCTTTTTGCTCGTCTGTCTCTTCAAGCTGAATGCCCCTCAGGGACAAGCGACCTTATCATGCTCATAACCTTTATGTTTGGCACAGGTGTGCACCTGAGAATGGTTGGATGTGTTTTTATTTATAATCCTACGGGAAACAGGGTAGAGCACCTAGCCACCTGGGCCTCGTCAACAGGAAAAAGCAGACTTGTATGCATCGTATCTACTACTACATAGGGTGGGGCACAAGTAGGTTTCCAGGTGTTCGTATGGAAAATAATACAAAAGTTAATAAGTAATAACACAAGAATGAACTCTGTGTTTCGTGTACTCACAACTGGACACCTACTTGTGCCCCACCCTGTTGCCTCCGTCCCTCTACCAAAAAGTGACTTGTGTTGGCTGTTCAGTTCTCCTTCCCCCATGTTTAGGCAGCATCAGCCGCATGCCAAGAATAATGTTAACCACAGAGGGTGAGTTTTAGCAGAAGTTGTTTTAAGTATAGCAATGCCTGGTTATCCTGGTCCTGGTCATGATAGTGGCTACATTTATGGAGTGGCACTAACAAGCCTGGTGTTTGCTAAATACTTTCCATACGTCACTTAACTTGACCTCCACAACACCTTATGACAGAGAAACTAATGTTTTTCCACCGGGCTGGCATGGCTCATTGGTTGAGCATCAACCTATGAACCAGGAGGTCATGGCTCGATTCCCAGTCAGGACACATGCCTGGGTTGCAGGCTCAATCCTCAGTGCGGAGCATGCAGGAGGCAGCCGATCAATGGTTCTCTCTCATCATTGGTGTTTCTATCTCTCTCTCCCTCTCTGAAATCAATAAAAACTATACTAAAAAAAACAACAAAAACACGATTGTTTTTCCTTTTTTGGCAGCCCTTGCCTTTGGAGCAAATGCATACTAAAATACAATTTTAAAACAACTCATTGTGTTGTTAATTCCAATTGCTGAAGCAAATAAGGTTGTTAAGACAGAAGAGAAAATTATTTATTTAGCAAAAAAAATCATATTACTAAGTGTCCTCTGCTGCAGATTTATAGACTCAAGTGTTCAGAGAAAAGACATAAGGCCCGTGGATGTGTAGATACGATAAACCAGGGGCTGGCCAGGGTCACAGGGAAAGTCAGAGGCAGAGCTGACACTCTGGATTCTGGTTAGCGCAGGACAGCACGCCGTGTTTCTGCCCCTTCTCACATGGCCTCAGAGCCATGCAAAGCTTCATGCTTTGATCATACCTGTCTCATGCACATCTGCTATTTCTCTCTCATTGAATGTAAGTTTCTCTTTTCTGCCAAACCAGTGCAGGCTGATTTAACACCCTTCAATTTAACAAATGAAAGGTGTTAATTGGTAATATTCACAATGTTCCTTAAAAGTCAGAGTGCAGCCCTAGCCGGTTTGGCTCAGCCTGAGGACTGAGGGGTCCCAGGTTCGATTCTGGTCAAGGGCATGTACCTTGGTTGTGGGCACATCCCCAGTGGGGGGTGTGCAGGAGGCAGCTGATTGATGTTTCTAACTCTCTATCCCTCTCCCTTCCTCTCTGTAAAAAATCAATAAAATATATTAAAAAAAAAGAAAAAGTCAGTACAGCCTGGCTGGTATTGCTCAGTGGTTGAGCATTGACCTACAAACCAGTAGGTCACAGTTCGATTCCCGGTCAGCCTGTTTGTGGGCTCCATCCCCAGGAGGGGGCGTGAAGGAGGTAGCTGATCACTGATTCTCTTTGATCATGGATGTATCTATCTCTCACTCCCTTCCTCTCTGAAATCAAATTTAAAAAAAACAACAAACTTAAAAAATAGGTCCAAGTGCAAATGCTTTTAAAAAAGGCCTGGCCCTAGCCGGTTTGGCTCAGTGGATAAAGCATTGGCCTGCGGACTAAAGGGTCCCAGGTTTGATTCCGGTCAAGGGCAGGTACCTTGACTGCAGGCTTCTCCCGGGCCTGGGCCCTGGTCGGGGCTTGTGCAGGAGGCAACCAATTAATGTGTTTCTCTCACATCGATGTTTCTCTCTGTCTTTCCCTCTCTCTTCTACTCTCCCAAAAAATCAATGGAAAAGTATCCTCAGGTGAGGATTAACAACAACAAAAAAAAAAGAAAGAAAAGGTCTGTACTCTGCGCCTACTGCCCTTCCACTACGGTATTATACTTGCTGCTTCGCTCAGACAAGTTTCCTGTCTCGCCTACATGGTCACACGAGCCAGTGTGTCATTTTCAAGGCACTGGACACACCAGGACCTCGGCCAACTCACACAACTCCCAATCGATACTGACCGCTGCCCCCAAAGCCCTTCTTGTGGATGACCAGTTTGTAGACCTTTGTGGTTCTCATCTTGCACGGCGGTTTCCTTCAGCTGTTCCAGGCTTGGGGGAGAGAAGTCATCTTGCCTCCCTGCCCTTGAGAAACACAAACAAAAAGGCGGTCAGACTTCGCCTTGCAACTGCTCTTCGATTGGAACCTCCTGCACAAACCGTTGCTGATCAGGGAAGAGGTGGCACCAAACCCGTGGATGAAAAATAACGCCTCCAAGGAGGGACGGAGGACAAAGAGGACCAGAGAATTTGGGGAACGAGAGGATTGGGGGCCACGCTCTCGTCCTTCCTCCAAGAAGAAGACATTCATTCTATCACACTCCTGGAGTGAGAAGGGGGCACCCATTACCTGGCCTCCATCTCCACCAATAACACTCAAGTCATAAAGCGCTTTGAAAAGGTAGGCGCACTCCTTCTGTGGGAGGAGAGCGTGGGCCGGGGCGAGCTGACTTGGCCAAAACCACTCGGGAGGCTGACAGGCATGGCCACAGTTCCTGTTTGGCCATCCATGTCGAGGGCAAATAAGAGCATAAATGGGAGGAAGGCGCGGGTTCATGCCCCGCACCTCCATCCGTGCAAACTCGCAGCGGGTCCTCCGCGCGTTCACTCATTTCACCGCTGAGATTCAGAGACGTGCAGAGCCTGGTCTAAGGTCACACAGCGGGTTGGGGGTGGGGCCTCCCTCTTGTTCCCCAAACCCGGGCCCCGGCTGGCAGCTCCACTCACCCGCAGCGCCGGACCCCCTTCCCGCTTCAGCCCGGGGCCCCGAGGACCGGACCTTCGCCAGGTCCCTCGCGCCTCCTCGGGGCGACCCTGCCGACGCCTCTATCGCCTCCGCCCCCGTGCAGCTCTCGTGCCCGAGCTCCAGCCGCCGACCCGCTCGCCCGCCCCAGCGGAGGAGCGCTCACCTGAGAACCCGCGCCGCGCCGGTGGCTCCGCCCCGCGGCTACGCCCCCTTCCCGCCCACCCGCCCCGGGCCGCTCTGGCCGGGCCTCCGCCTCCTCTCGGTGTCCGCGCCACTTCCGCATCCGGGCCTCGCGCCGGGGGCGGGGCCTCGCGCGGGGGCGGGGCCTCGCGGGGGGGGCGGGGCGGGGCATCGCGTGCAGACTCCCGCTCGCGCTGCCCCATGCATTTCCCGCTGTGCAGGCCTGAAGATCTCAGTAAGCCGCATAGAGGAAATGCCTTTGCCTTCTAGTCATTTCTAAACAAATACGAGCCCGAGATCTACGTTTCCAACTTAGTGATCCCCCCAACGAGGCAAATTCAGCAGAGTCTCCTCCCCGGACCTATAAGGGGAATGTTATGTATGGACCCTCGTCTGGCCTCACCCGGGCTACTGAAAGGCTCAACATGGTTTCTGGGAGAATTTAGGTAAAATACAAAGGGCGAAGCACGTGTGACTCAGTGCGATCGCCCCTGCTGGAAAGTACCCGTCTTGAGGGGCTTTTCAAAGCCTCTTCCAAACCCCAGATAACGTGTGTGCTGGCCTGGTTATTCATAATAATAGCTACCATGGCTTTCACAGACGTCCTTATGTGATCGTCACATCCCTATTAGGTGGCAAATACTATCGTGTGTTTCAGGCACCAGGGAACAGGCTGGGGACCCGAAACTCCTCGGAAGAAAGCAAGGACGCATCCTGACCCCGCTGAGTCCAAAAGTTTAACCAGCATCTTCATGTCACACCCAAGGGCTCAAAACATTTATCTGATTGACTGTGATATTCGGGGAAATTCGGAAGGCCGCAAGAGAAAAAAGCATTGCATCCTGCAAGGAGACTTGGGAATTGCAAGACAAGTAAGAGCTTCCTTAAGCATCCATGCTTTTATTTTAGGATTCAGAGGTTAAATATTAAATCATTGTAATTTTTTTTTATATATTTAAGGGAAACATATAATCAAGGGAACTGCAACAGTTCCAAACATTTTCAGGGACAAAATGTTACAAAGTGAAGACTTTTTATGTTGCCAATTCAGAGACACACACAACCCCCCCCCCCCCCCAGGCTGTTTTCCGTCCTTAGCAGCAATGGCTGATGGGAAGTCCTTCCATCTGTGAGGTGGCTAATGGGATGCTTCTCCTCGCTCTCAGGGGAATTGGATTCCACCTCCTGAGAGCTGTCCAAGGTTGGTCTCATATCTTAGAAATGAAAATATCCCACTTTTTAATTTGGCATAAACTTGAGAAACACCTTAAGGTTTGAGATTTTAAAAAAACTTGTCTAGCCTTAGCCGGTTTTGCTCAGTGGATAGAGCATGGGCCTGTGGACTGAAGGGTCCTGGGTTTGATTCTACTCAAGGGCACATGCCTGGGTTGCAGGCTCTATCTCCAGTAGGGGGCGAGCTGGAAGCAGCCGATCAATGATTTTCTCTCATCATTGATGTTTCTATCTCTCCCTCTCCTTCCTCTCTGAAATCAATAAAAATATATCTTTTGGGGGGGGGAAAAAAACAAAACAAAACACTTGTCTAAAGCTGGTCAAGGTGAGGGGAGGCTGGAGCTCCCAGACTGGGACTCCAACTGCCTTGGTTCTACAACCATTGTGCTACAACCACCTACAGGATGTACCCAAAAATTCAGTGAGCAAGATAAATAATATTTTGAATGCAATATTTTCAAGTCAAAATTAATACAAAATTCCATAACGTACAGAATAATCACATATTTAAATAAAGACGAGATCAATAATGGTGCTCTGCAGAGTCCTATGAGAGCCTGAGGCAGAAGGACAAACCAGTAATTCTGGGTTTCTCAGATCCCCTTCTAGAGATAAATAGTTGCCTGAGGAAGTACTTGAGGAAGCAGATTCTGTAAATGTAGAAATGTTCTAAAGTGAATTTCTAGTGAATTCATCCCAACAGCACCTACAGTAGCCTATAAGTGAACTGTACAAGTATATAGATGATACATGGACTCACAGGCTATATTGCTAACAATAGGGTTGGCATTGTTATGGGAAAGGGAACCTGGCCCTGAGGGGGTCTGCCGAGGGCCAGCTAGTAGTGTGTGGGTTCTTGCAGGAACAATTTCACAACACGAATCCAGGTGGATTTTAGAGGATGTTTTTACAGCTGGGGACAGTGAAACGAGGAAGGGCCTAGGATAGAAGCAGCACCAGGAGAGAGACTAGGTAGGGGCATGAGCCCAGTCTGCACTGCTTTGGCTCACTAAGAAGTCAGAGAAAAGGGCACCTTGGAGATGGTTCAGAGAATTCACTTGGATGTGAGTCTCATGGGGTCCCTTAGAGTTTAGATGCGTGCCTGCAGGGGAAGGAGTGGGGGAAGGGAAAGGCATGGGCATGCTCCTGGGATGGAGAGAGCACGCTGGAACCTTCATTTTGATGGTTTTTAAAAGCTGCAAGTCTAGGGGAAGTCTTAGGGAAGAATTTCAATAGAATATCCATCTGGTTTATGTTGATGTGCTCAGATGAGATTTATCCCCCTAACTTCATCTATCCTTGGATTTCTGCTACCTATCTCCCTGAGTAGGATGATTTAAGCTATTTACCCTTTGGTTGGGGAGAAGTAAACCATTTACTCTTTTTTTTTTTCATATGTGTTTATTGATTTTAGAGAGAGAGAGAAAAAGAGATAGAAACATTGATGAGAGAGAAACATCTATCAGCTGCCTCCTGCATGCCCCCTACTGGGGATCAAGCATACAACCTGGGCAGGTGCCCTGACCAGGAATCAACTGGTGACCTCCTGGCTCATGGGTTGATGCTCAACCACTGAGCCACACCAGCCAGGCAAACCATTTACTCTTAGGTGTCCTCGGTTACAGAAGATACGATTTTGCGATTTACTAGATGGCTGCAAACTGCTTGGCCATTTAACTGTTCCCCTATTCCGCTTGTCCTGGCTTACTAGCCTGTCTCAGCATTTGGATTTGGATTTGTTTTATCTCTAGTCCCAACTAAAGCCTAGAAACCAATTATCTCCGCCATGTTGGCTGGCTCAAAGATATCTTGATCAGAAAAGGGAAAAATAAAGTCTCCCCCAAACCTTGAGACTGTCCTTCAAATACCTATTGAGCGGACTCTGTTAGGTACCCAGCAAAGAATGATGGACAAGATACACAAGGGTGGGAAGGGACAGGTGATAGTGAATGGAGAGATGAAACGGGCCACTTCAGCTGGTGTTAAACCTATGAATAAATTAAAACAAGACGCCTTGCCTTAAAGGACCGGAGGCAGAGAGGTGCTATTGAGATTTAGCGGTCAACGTAATTAGGAGGAGGAGGGGAGTGACATGACCTAAAACACTGATTCCAGTTATAAAGAGCTCTAGGGCTGCCATAGTGGGAGGCAGGAAGTCCCTAGAATCGCAGCGCCAGGCCGGAGAAATGGTGGACTGGACCAGGGTATTTTCGGTAGAGACAGACACTGGACCCTGGGGGCGGGGGGCGGGGGGAGGGGGGGGCTCAGCAGAAGTAGCGTAAAACGGTGTGTTCCGCTTTAAGAGCACAGGCCGCAGGGGCGGGGCCTAAAGCGACGGGGGTCAGCCGAGGGCGGGAGGCCAACGCTGGAAGAGCCGCCCCTCGGCATGCGCGCGCACCCCGTGCGGGGGCGGGGCTTGGGCGAGCCCGCATGGCTGTCTCCGGCCCCGGATGAGGAAGTACGAGGAGGGGGGCGGGAGGGAGGAGAAGGAGGGAGAGGACCATAGAGACGAAGAGGTGGCGACGGCCGGAGCGCCCTGGGCTCTCGGGACTCCGTAGGCTCAGGTAGACTTGGCGGCGGCGGGGCTGCGGCTGCCGAGGCCCGGCTGGCGGGGCGAGTGCGGGCCGCCGAGCAGGCCGCAGGGTAAGAGGCGGGGGCGGGAAGGCTTGGGGCGCAGCCGCCCCGCCCCACTGCACCCGGAGAGGACCTTCCGCCGGGAGGTGCAGGTGGAGGGGGAGCCCGGCCCCCCGCTCTCTCGGGGTGCCGAAGGGAACCGAAGCTGCGCTGCGGGGCGGCGGAGCGCCCCGGGGAGAGGGAGGAGACCGGGCCCCCGCGCCGCGAGGGGGAAACGGCCTCCCCGAGTCATGGCTCCGACGGGGGAGAGACGCTCCTCTTCAGCCTCGCCGCGGCCGGAGACCCCCAACTTCCTCCGGGGAGTGCGACGCCCCCGGTCGTGGGCGGACGCTCTCCCCCGGCTCCAGTGCGTCTCTCAGCGGAGCAAGCCCCGCTCCCGGGGTGCGGGAGGGCGAGTCTGAATTTATTTTAAGGCTAATACCCTCCCACACCCCCAACAAGACCTTCCCCCCACTTCTCCGATGTGGTCAGCGCCAGCCCCGCAAGTGGAGAGCGAGCGAGGCTCAACTTGCCTGAAAGTGACAGAGGGGCTCTCCCTTCCCCGTGGGAGATGGACTTACCGTCGCCCCTTTATTTTCCACCTTTACCCCGAGACACAGGGAGGAAGATGCGGGATTTATGGTGGGAGCAGCCAGCCTGTCTCCCCCGCCCCCAGTCATGCCCACGGCGGCGCGGCGCCTCGCTCCTCTAACCCCCTCGGCGCCGGCTGTGCCGTGAGCTCCTGCCATTTGCACGCTTGGCGTCGGGAGGGCGATCGTCGCGAGCCCCTGCCCTCCGCCGCTGCCCACCGTTGTGACCTTGGCCGATGGCTGCACCCCCCCCCCGCCCCAGCCCCTCTCGGGTCGGGGGTAGACGTGTCCCAGGGGCTCCGGGAGACCTTGTGGGAGTGCTCAGCCCGTCGCTGTAACCTTGTGGTCAATTGTTGCTAGCAACTGTTACTTCACTTGCTTTTTAAAAAAGGAAACTAATATCCTCTCCAGAGAAACTGATGTTTCCTCTCAGCACCCCCAACCCACCCCTCCCCAGTCCCACCCCCCATGGCAAGTGTTCAACCCAC